ATTTGGGTTTGTTTTCATAAAAATTGATAGTTTTAGCATACCCGATAGCCATTGTCATACTTAATTTATAACCGTTTAATTTTTTTGTTTTAGATCACCCGTTCTCAAATTTCGATGCCCGCCAACAGCATACCTACTTTTGAAGGGTTCACGTTTGTCAGCCATTTTGGATATCAAAAAACGTTAAAAACAATAAAAAAAAATTTTTTTCTTGTACTTCCAGAGTGTATTTATCATACCCAACAACTTTTATATGTATATGTATCCTACAAAGCCTAAAAAAAAATGGTGAAAATAGCCTGTTTTTTCGGTGTATAAACCAGAATGAACCCTGAAGGGGGTATTTTGGTCTAGAAATTTAAAAAAATCGATTTTTTTTCATATTTTACAAGCTTAACCTTTTAGGAATGTGTCCTTAAGAGGGTTTTTCAAAATTCAAATTATTTTCGGAGATATAGCTGTTCTAGTGACGCAGCATCCTATATCCTACCCTTATTACGCGAAACTTTGAACGCGTTTTTCTCGAAACTGTTTTTTTTACGGTTGTCATGATTTTTCAAGATCTACTGAACCGATTTACTTAAAATTTGGTGAGAGTTTTCTCTATGAATTTTTCTATCATACTAACTAGACTTTTATAATAATTTTTAATTTTTACTATTTTTAAAAAATTCGGAAAAGTAAAAAAGAAAGTGGTAAAAATAATGTATCATTTTTCAGACAGCCGCAATTTAATAAATTAAAACAATTTTTTTAAACTATTTTTTAGTTAGTACGATAGCAACGTCATTCCTAATTATTAATTTTTTTTTTATTTCGGATTATTAGAAGAGTTGCAATTGTGACAACCGTAACGCGCCATTTTTTTGGGACCCCCTACTTCATCAGCCTATATCTTTTTCAATTTTGAATTTTTTCAAATATTTTTTTTCAAGTATTCTTGAAATATTAATAAATATCTTGTAATATTATGGATAGTGAAAATGTTATTCGTCTTTTTGTTGTTGCACTTTAAAAAGTACCTAAAACTCATACCTCCAGACCAGATTACCCCCTTAAGGGGTCTACCCTAATTAGAATTTTCAAAAAATCGATTTTTTTTTACATTTTTTGAAAGTATACATATCTAGAAGTATCATACTAAAATTTTATAAAGATCGGAGCAGTGTAACTGTACTTTTTTGCGAGCTTTATCTTACTCCGCTCGGTTAGATACCGCGCGCTTTCTTGTTCACCGAAGAAGCTGCTATTTATTGTCCCTATTGTGGGGGTGGTTTCAGACAGAAAAAGAAATATATATACCTAACTGAAGATGATATAATATAGTTTATTAAATTATGATGATGTGATATTTCATAAATATTATCATAAAATTTCAACTGATAGCAACCCTCAGCATTCATACTGTTCCGACTCTTAGTGGAAGTACAAGAAAGCTGTAAGAGACAAGACAGTTAAAAGTTTCAAACATCCTCCTGCTCTTGCAAAAGATGTTGAAGACATTCTAAAACCAATCTACGAAGATTTAACAAAGCCAGAATTACTGGAAAGATGCCTTGGTAGAAACACGCAGAAAAACAATGAGTCGTTCAACAACTGCGTTTGGGCAATGGCTCCTAAACACGTCTTTAGCGGCAAAATTATTGTTCAAATCGCTTGTCAAACAGCTGCTTGTATTTTCAATGAAGGTTTTTAAACAGTTTTGAAAATTATGTCAGTAATGGGAGTCAAAATTGGCCCGAGCGTCATGCACTTTGCTTCCGAACGTGACAGAGAACGCATACGTGTAGCAAACCGCCGCAGCACTAATTCCTCTAAAGAAGCTAGGACGCAACGCAGAAACGCTATTTTGGATAAAAATGAACGTTATGAAGAAGAGTAAGTTATAATGTATAGTGCAGGTATCGCTGATTAAGAACAGGTAAAATTTTTTCACGATTTTTCCTTGAAAAAAACTTTAAACGCGTTTTTCTCAAAACAACGCTTTCCAAAGCCTTGTTGATAAAATCTCCGAAACTACTAGTCCAATCCCTCTGAAATTTTTACCACATATTCTTTACTTGTATAGCTATAGCGCATATCAAGGGTTTTTTTAGATTTTGATTTTAACTATTTTTTTTGGCCAAAAACAGTAAAAAAAAACGTGTTTTTTCATTTTTTTCGAAAAATGTCCGCCATTTTTTCAATTTTTCAAAAATCAAAAATCTTTCGATATGCGCTATAGCTATGAATATACTGAATCAAACAATGTTAGATTTTTTTGTTTCAGACCCACCATTCCAGAGATTTTATCCACAGCGAGGACACACCTTTTTTTAGGACGTTTTTTGAAGTATCATTTTCATGTATAAAAAGTTACTAAAATATACAAAAAAAATTGTTTATTGTAGTTCGATAGTGCATTAATACAGTGCAATAAATTATATATCAATATTTATAATATAAAACTGTTAAAAAAATTCTAAAAAAATGTCTTTTTTAGTGTGTCTAATTGGAGTAGACCCCTTAATATAATATTTTCAATTTTTAGTTTCTGATCATCATCAATGCGTGCATTGGTACAGAGATTTGCGTGGGTCAACATCTGACCCGTTGGTCATAGGTTCGCCATCCTTGTGTAAAAAAATAGAAAAGAAGTCGTAATAAAATAAAATCTTAATCTTGGGGTTAAAAGTCATCTCTATTTCTGCTGTCGGCAACTTGACTTGATAGGCCACCGAACAAACGTATATAAAATATACTACAGACATAATTCTGTAAATTAATAACATTTAGCAGTTACTAGAATTTTGTATTTAGCCTACAATGTAGTTTTTACTTGTAAAAAACTGCAAATTGTATTTGCCATCTAGTTGCGAGTCAAGAAACTATCTTGAGTTTTTAAGTAGGTGTTTTTCAGGTCAAGATAACAATTTGTCATTTCAAATGAACATTTTTTTTTCATTTTAAAATAACAATTTAAAAAACAGTTAAAAAGAAAATAATGAATGATAATTAAAAAAAATAATTCACATAATGTGATATGTTTATTTTTAAAATTTATGTGGAATCATATTTAAAACAGCATTTATAGAATTAAATTCAGAAGATAATAATCTTTAAAAATAAATAAATTTTATAAAAAAAATGCGTTTAATTTTCGTCCTCTACACCACTATCAGTATTTTTAAAATTTAATAAAACAAAATTAGAAAAGACATCTTCATAAAAAATACATATAATATTTATATACGTTTTTAACCAATGGGCTTGTAAAAAAGATAACTATTTATCATTAATATCATCGGTGTTTATTATTGGTTACACAATTCTTCATTGGTTATATTTTAAGTGGGAGATTCATCCCTTAACAAAATGGACAATGTTATTAATGAGTTAAAGATTATTATTTTCTGAATTTAATTCCATAAATACTGTTTTAAATATGATTGCACATAAATTTAAAAAATTAACATATCACATTATGTGGATTAGTTTCTTAAATTATCATTCATTATTTTATTTCTAACTGTTTTATTAATTGTTATTTTGAAACTAAAAAATGTTGTTTTGAAATGAAAAATGTTCATTTAAAATAAAAATTGTTATCTTGAAATGAAAAAATTTTCATTTGAAATAAAAAATTGTTATCTTGACGTGAAAAGCCTATATATGGCATATACGTATATGTAGGTGCACACAAGCACACATGTATATACAATTCTTAGTAGCCAAGAGTGGGGACTACGAAGCATCAAACAAAAAAGAGACCGAGAATAGGAAATACTGTATACAATATTCTATCTCATTCTCTCGCAGGCTTAATCCTATAGATGTATATATACAGGTGACCTTTGACTTTTGCGCTTTCTACTTTCGCACAATTCGCTATTTCGCACATTTTTAAAGATTTAACTCTTTAATTCTCTGCAATCGGATGTTCCTTTTTAGGGGACATCAGACTATCCATCAGATGTCAATGTTGTTCAAATAAAGAGAACAAAACAGTTTCAGTCTTTCATTAGGGCGTGCGTCAACGTGTTGTGTATTTTTCTAATTTAGACAAATACTTTAAAACACAGTTTTTGATGCATACTCTTTTACATCCCTGTACTTTTGAACATTCAACATTCGCACATCCTTTCAGGAACCAATTATGTGTGAAAGTCGAGAGCATACTGTATATATTTTACTCTTTTTCTTTTTTTGGTGAAATAGCCGTTTCATCACTTTTCGTAACACCGAGTATTATCTCTCTTCGTATCATCGAGCTCCTCGATTTGAATTACATCGAGCTCCTAGCTTTTTCGTTTAATCTGCCTTCAAATCACAACGATTCTAAAGAAGTTTTCACTTTAAGAATATGAAACTTTTCATCTTATTTTCTTAAAAACGAGTTATTATTTGGTATAACTGCTTGCGCAATGTATGATCCTAATAGACTGCTTACAAATTTTCAAAGATAAAAATTGTTTATTGTAGGATGAAATAGATCGTTTCTCGGAACTGCATTTGTTTAATCTAGTTACACGATACCGCTGCTTGAAAGAGTGGGTCGTGTAATGTTTCGTTGCATCTAAAAATCTGGAATATTCCTTATCGGAAGTAAAGGAAAAATCAAGATATTTTATGGTAAGGAATGGTTGGAAAGTTTCGAGCAAGAAATAAAAAAAATATAGAAGAGAAGCGACCTGTTGTTAATTAGTTCAGTTCAGTTTAGTTCGAATTAGCGAAGGCTAATAGACAGTAGGCCCACTACTGGCCAGTAGATGTGTAACGTTACATCTGTGTAATCTAAATAAGACTACCTTAATTTATTATTCGCTACTACTTTTACCATATCTCTAGATTGATAAAAAAACAATTTGATACCGAAAAAATTAGGTACGGAAGACACTATTTAAACAGTTGTACTACCTGCACACCCACAGTATTTCATTTTGTCCTGAATAATGAATGATATTTTCCCGTTATTTATACAATATGTAATAACAGTGTGCAATAAAAATAATAAGAAAAAACTTACATAAATCACTCGCACTGTGCTTTTTCAAATATATCTCTTCGGAAAATATTTTCGCGTGGCTAGTAGATTGTTAAAACATTAAATGCAACTGTTAAGAAGTAAATGGTGAGTTAAGTATACAATCAAGCTCATATACTGATAAAATACAATAATTAAGCGTAAGAGTAGTTACATAGTAAGTATGGTAGGAACAATAGATAACCTCTCTTGACTTCTTACATTTTCTTTCCAATCTCCCTCTCGTATTACCCCCTTTTCTCCTACCGTCCCTCACTAATATCCCTTCTCGATCCGTTTCCCGCTTTCTCTCGCCCAGCGATGACTTCTCACGCCCCGCAAGCCCCTGTCTTTCCAAAGCATTTTCACCAATCACGAAGACGAAGGATATTTTCCCCTTCTCTATGAACCTCTCGCTGACCATTAATGCGATTCTCGCGAATCGCAAAAAACATTTTAACCGTAGCGTTGGCGGAACACCTGTAGGTGTCACGATAGTAATCAATAAATGTTACAAACGTTATTTTTCTACTTTTGTTTTGGATGTACACTAGTTAGTTAGAAAGGTAGTTATATTAGGTTGATACGTATGAAATGTCAGATTTTTAAGAAAACTCCAAATCTTTTTTTAAAACCAGTTTATTTAAACGAAATAAACTCTACTTGTTTCAATACACTTTCCCCAACGAAATTTTGGCCTGTCTTTAAGAAATTCTGATCTTTAGAATCAATAAACTTTAATATGGAATTTTTTAAACTGTCTTCATTTTCAAACTATTTATCCTGTATAAGCTATTCAAAATGTTTAAAAAAATAAAAGTTGGTTAGCGAAAAATCCAGTTAATAAATTGAATGCTGAAAAATTTTATATATTAATTCATTTATAAAGATCGGGTTAGTAATTATAAGCATACCTTACCTTTATCCGATCCAGCCTATTTTGCACGATCAGATCGTGCTGTATCAACTAATCCATTTTTTCACCTTGCTAAATTCAAAAAAATGTCGCAACATTATTGTATGATCAACTTCCATTCTGGTAGCATATTCCCCAATGTTCACCAATGCTTTCAGAGCATCATTTTTTACAAACGTTTTGAGACTTCCACGTTGTTTATTTTGTAGGAAAAATTCACCAGATCGAAATTTTTAAAACCAATGCTGCAGTTTTCGATCGTTAAGGAGTCATTCTGTTTTATCATTTTAAAAATATCAATTTTTTTTAATTTTATGAAAGAAGACATATGTAGAATTATCAAACAAAAATTTTAGAACGATCCGAGCAGTCTAAGTATATTAATTTGCGAACAACACATAGAGATATTACAGATAGAGGAGACAAACCATCTGCGGTTGTGTAAGTCTCTGCATGAATAAAGCAGCAAAAAAAAAAAGGTTGATGTTGACTTGACAAAACCAAAATTACTTGAAAGATGTTTGGGTGGCCACACATTTAAAATAATAATGAGTGCTTCAACAAATGCGTTTGGGCTATGGTGCCTAAACATCTATTTAATGGTAAAAAAACACCTATTTAATGGTAAAAAAATTGTTTAAATAGCTTTTAAATTAGCAGTTTGTATCTTCAACGAAGGTTTTGATTCAATACTGAAAATAATGCACGTTTTGGAGATAAAACTTGGCCCTATCGCAGTCAATTACGCTAGTCACCGCGGCAACAGGCGCGTGCGCTCAGCTAATTGTTTGAGCGGAGAAGCTTTGATAGAGGCCAGGACAAAACGAAAAAAGGCTAGAATGGAAGAAAATGAGTATTTTGAAGAAGCAGAAGGCATACTATATGGTGCAGGCATCGCAGAATAAGGTAAAGTCAGACTTTTTAAAAATTTAACTAACTACTCAACCGATCCTTCTGAAATTTTAACCACATACTCTACACATGAATGGCTATC